AAAATTTAAATATTAAAAAAATTAGTAAAAATCTTCGCAGGCAAATTTGCCTGTGTTACAATTTAAGGGATAATAATAAGTATTAAATATGTAATTAATTTCAACACTAATTATATAATATAATAAGAATATTCTATAGAGTAGGTGGGCAAACTCCGCAAACTCCACAACTCTGCTAAATATCTATTAATGATTGCTAATTATTAGTGGAGTTTATTTTTTATATTGCCCACCTATTATATATTATAAGCATTTATAATTTATACTAGAGAATATTAATAACCTCCCCTGGATTAACATAATAAAATTCAATAAAATCATGTGATGCACCAATACATGACAACAAACATCAATATAATATAACAATTTTTTTGTTAATGTTGTAATTAAGCACATTGCATAGCTATCTAATACGTAATAAGTACGTACTTGGTATATAGTGTGTATGCACATTATTAAACTCTTATCTTATTCAGGCATATTCTACGTAATATATATATCGATATGAAGTAACAATTAACTTCAGAACTTATAGAATTTAACACTAACCTACTGTATATATTTAATCGAATATTACAAAAAAATATAGCTAGAATTAAAAAAAGAGGAATATGTCAATGGATGTGTTTATAATAGGAAGATTATCTAATAATAATATACTCTTCAGATAACTTTTGGTTCAAACTAAGTGGTTGACTTAATACTATGTAAATATAAAAAAGAACAGTTAACAATCATTAAAAAAAAATTTTTTAAAAAATTAATTCTATTATAAAAAACCTCTAACCCTAACTTCTAATCTAAAAAAAATTATTGTTCACTCTTATCCTAAATAACTTAATAACTATATAAACATAAAAAAAGAACGGTTAATAATCATTAAAAAAAAAATTTTTTAAAAAAATAATTCTATTATAAAAAACCTCTAACTCTAACTCCTAACCCAAAAAAAAAAAATATTACTATTGTTCACTCTTATTTTAAATAATCTTAAAAAAAAAAAACCTTTGTTAGCATTCACTCTTACCCTAACTCTGAAGAAAAGTTAAATATATCGAATTTTGAACTTAAACCAAATTTTGATTCAGATACAATCTCTAAACACAAGATCAATTCAATATAGTATAATTAATTGATATTACACTTCATTTTTATCAAGTTAAGCAACATGCAATCAAATTAATATAGCATTTGTAAATTCTATATATAATATTATATTTTTTGACAAACAAATAACTAACACAAAGTTACTACAACCAACATAAAGTTTTGCCCACTAATTTATACTGTATTTAAGAAGTTATTTTTTAGGGCAATTTCGAGAATCATGGTACTATGATTTACATGTAGCATATTAACACTTGTTTTCCTTTTTTGGTCTTGACTCTGAATCTTCGTCTTGATTATTTGAACCAACGTTATTGTTATTGTGATTCTCAATTGCTAATAAGTATCTTTTGTTTGCAAGGTGGCCTCTACCCTTATGCTAAGACGGATTTGAAATTTTAAAATTACTATCTTGATTTAACTCTGGTTCAGATATATTTTTATTTTGTACTGATGCTTGTTCATCAATAAATCATTGCAATATGTTTTCTAGAACAATATTAGAACCATTCATGACTGCTATATCCCAATATAACTATGTTATATGGGTGTATTACTGACGATCGTTTTACTTCCAGCTTGGTAATGCAAGGAGGCCTGAAATCTTGACCCAATGCTTTTTTACAAAGCCTGAGACCATGACTATATAAAACCTTTTTTGAATCTAATTCTATAGCATGTCTGACATTAATTTTTTGTCTACGAATCCTTTCTAATACTTGAAATATACTAGTTAGAATTGGTTCATTATTATTTTGTACTACCTGAATAGATGATTCTTGATTTTCATCAAACACTACAAGACCTTTTTCAGAATACCAATGTGAAGGAATCAACTTCATATTGAAAAGTGCTTTCTTTAAATGAATCATAATGGCAAAAAATGTTGACAAATAAATCTAGCATATGTTAAATATAGACATGTACAATAATAAATATCATCTTTAAACAATAAAACAAATTATAAATAGTTTGTTGTACTTTGGATATGTTTAACTTTCCAAATTTCTTTTATACCAATTCCACGACAATCTTCTAAGGCTACATTTAATAAAATCTGTAGTTCTTCATAATTGTCTTTTATGAATCTCATGTTATAACCATTTGACTTCTAATCAAATAATATTTTCAATCCAATCTTTACTTATAGTATAATTTAAATAAAAAAAAAAAAAAAAAACTTTACTGATTTGTAGTAATATTACGATTAATAACATATAATAAAGTCCTATATAGAAGACATTCTGATATCTGCCTTCGTTGTAAAGCTAATGAATTAGGTGTAAGATACTTCTTACATGTATAATCAATCTTTTTAAAAATTGTATTAGAAATGTGAAGAAGGCCTGCTATAGGATTCATATTTTAGAACTTTTGCAATCTTGCATATTTGGCTTCATCTTTAAGTCTTAATTTGATTCTTGTTTAAAGCCAATATAAAGAGTTTTCAGAGTTAGCTTCCAATTTTATAATATGATTTATACTTTCAACATGTTGTGTTGAATAGGTATTTGCTAAAAAACTCTGTTTTGTAAAGGCATATTTCCAATATTCTTTTGTTGGATAATACTCGATCACAGTAACTTTGAACTTCTTGATATTTGTTTATCAGATCTGCCTAGCGACTGTCAAAGTTAGATACTTCAATTGAATTTTGAAGTATATAGAAATTGGAAATGAATCTATTCCACTTGTTATGAAGCTTTTTTTTAACCTTTTTAATTAAATTTTGTCAAATGTGAAATGCATAATGCCAAACTATAGTCCTAGAATAACAGTTAGATAAAGCTACTTGCATCGCCAGATCTGTATCTGTAAATATAGTTATTAGTTAAAGATTACCAGTAGCTATTTTAGTTTGTTCTAATATTCACTTATAAGTTGAGACTGTCTCATCACTAATTACAGCTGTTACTACAATTCTGCTTCATTGATTTGAGTCAATTACAATAAATATGCTTAGAGGTATTATATATTTGTTTGCTTTGTATATATTGTCATCAATAACAATATTATGGAATCTGGTCCACAAACTTTTTTAATCAGGTGATATCCAAAATATTCTGGAAAGCCTATTATCAATATCTTCAAAATCGACTTTAAAATACCAATTCGGATTCTCTTGCTATAGCCTTTCTAAAGTTTCATATAAAGTTAAAGTATTGTTGTTGGTTTGGGTATTAGCTTTGAATCTACTAATTATATTATAAAGATCTTTATTATAAATCTCTTGATTAGGAAACCTATTCTGTAATATTCGTTTTAAAGCTGTTGCTTCTAAATTGTACTCCTAAACATAAAACCTAACTTCTTCTTTTATATGTATAGGTAGTTTTTGTGATGATAATGAAACTTAAAGCAAATTACTATCTTTTAATACATGATTATATTTTTTAACAAACTTGTTAACAAACACACGATTTGGCAGTTTTCTATATACCACATTTAACACAAAATCACACTATATACAAGCTAACTTATACTCTTTATTTGTTGTGGGATCTATTTTTTTTTTGGGCAAATATTTACCACCATGTTGGCATTTATAAGTTTTTTTAGAACAAACATTATTTTCATTTTCAACTCATACGATCTTGGTTTCAAAACCCATTTTGGTAGAATAGTGTTTCAAACATTTCTCAAGCAACTCAAAAGTAGAAAAAGTCTGCCTGGTATATATATCTTTTAAAGAACTGTTATCAGGCTCATCTTAAATTAATTTCACATATGTTATCTTCTATAATTTTAAATACAGATATGAAATTGGACTGATATTCATCATTTTTAACATTTCCAATTACAGATACAAGATTGAACTGATATTTGAGATCACTATTTTTGAATATACTATCTTCAACATTTCCAATTACAAATACAAAGTTGGACTAATATTTAAATTCACCACTTTCTAACACAGTATCTTCAATATTTTTAGATGCAAAATTAGACTAATATTCAAAATCGCCAGTTTCAAATACATTATCAATATTTCTAAGTTTAAATAAGGTGGTGAGCCTATTTATAATTTCATCAAAAGACTTATCAAAACACTCATTGAAAGGTAAAGCAAAATCAATATTGTTATTAGAGCAATACGAAATTCTGTTATCCATATAATACATGTTAAAGTTTTCAAATTTCAAATTATAATAAAACTTGAGATGAGATGTTTGAAAGAAAATTTTTACTATAAAAAGTTATATATTTGAAAGTTTGAAGAAGGTATGTGAAAAAAACGCATAACCCTAAAAAAAAAAAGTTTAGCTAATTACAAACTAAAAAATTTAAGACAAAATTACAAAAAAAAAACTGATCAAAATTTACTGTAAAAAGGCTATATGCTTTGAACAGAGTCCATATTAATTTACCAACAATCACTTAGAAGACATTACATTTTACCAAACCCATTTTGCCAACAAGCTTTTTTTATAGACGATTAATTTACTGACAATCACTTCAAAAACATCACATTTTACTGAACCCATTTTGCTAACAAGCTTTTTTTACAGATAATTAATTTACCAACATGCTTGTTTTACCAACTTGTTAATTTTCACTAACACAAAAATTCACTGAAAATTGTTTTACAAATACAGACAAGCTTTTTTTACCAACACTAAAATTCAATGATAATATATTTTATCGACAATAAGAAGAGTAGGACTAGTGTTGGTAGTAGAATTACAGCTATTTTCATAAATTCTGTGACACCTTAAAAAAATTTGCCGAAGTTGATAAATAATTAATTTCGGTATGATTAGTATAATAAAATAATTAAAAAAAGCTATTTTTGGATCTTACAATATCATAACAATAATGTCAACGATTTTAAATTTTCATTTGAATGCTTGTCCAACATGTTTGGTATGTTTAGTTTGTATAAGAATTTATGGAAAAAATTTTTTCATATCAACCAATAAACCTTAACAAGAAATGTAAAAAGAAATCGAATATAAACTAGACTCTTATAATAAATATATTACTCGAACAAGTGCTGTTATTAAAAAACTTAAATATGATCATAAATTTGTCGACTGGTTATTATTAATGTTCTGTTGAGAATACATGAAGAATTATAATAAACTAAATCAAAATAAAAAATTTATATATATATTATTTATATATTTTTTATCTTCAACAAAATAATTAGAAATAAATAATACTTTTGTTTGGATGAAAATGAATTTTGCTTAGTTTTTTAATAACGAATTTTTTATCTTTAACAAGAAACAAAAAATAATTAGAAATAAATAAATGTCTTTATTTGAACAAAAATGGATCTTGCAAAGAATAGGATCGAAATTTAGTTTAATTTTTAAAACCGAATTTTTTTTCAACAAAGAAATGAAAAATAGCAGAAATGAATAATGTCTTTATTTGAATGAAAATAGATCTTGTCAAAAAATAGAAATTGAAGTTTTATACAATTTTTAAAAACTAATTTTTGTCAAAAAATAATTAGAAATAATAAAGGCTTTGTTTGAACGAAAATGGAACTTGTCAAAGAACAGGATTTTAAAATTTACACAATTTTTTAAAAACAAAATTTCATCAAAAAATAATTAGAAATGAATAAAAGCTTCATTTGAATGAAAATAGAACTTGCCAAAGAATATTAATTGAAATTTTACTTAATTTTTTAAAAACAAAAATTTTATCGAAAAATTAAAAAATCATTAAAAATGAATAGAGGCTTCATTTAATGAAAATAGATCTTGCCAAAGAATAGTAATTAAAATTTTACACAATTTTTTAAACCTGAATTTTCATCAAAAAATCATTAAAAATGAATAAAGACTTTGTTTGAGCGAAAATAAATTTTTTCAAAGAATAGGAATTAAAATTTTACATAATTTTTTAAAAATAAGCTTTCATCAAGAAATGAATAAAGGCTTCATTTGAGTGAAAATGGATCATGCCAAAGAATATCAATTTTAGTCTTATTGCTGTATTGTAATATATATTAGTTACCTGATTTTATTAAATTACGCATCTGATATTATCTGCTACTGAATCCCAAAATCAATTATTTATCGACTTCGGCCAAATAGACTTCAGCAAATTTTTTTAGGGTATCTCAGAATTTATGAAAATAGCTGTAATTCTACCACCAACACTAGTCCTACCCTTTTTATTGTTAGTGAAATATATTTGTCGGTGAATTTTAGTGTTGGTAAAGAAAGCTTGTCTGTAAATTTAAACTGTCTGTAAAACGATTTTCAGTGAATTTTTGTGTTGGTAAAAATTAACAAGTTGGTAAAACAAGCATGTCAATAAATTAAATATTGGTGAATTAATTGTCTATAAAAAAATATTGTCAGTAAAATGGGTTTGGTAAAATGTAATGTCTTCGAAGTGATTGTTGGTAAGTTGAAAAGATTCCCTTTGAACATATGTAAGAAATATAAAGAAAAAAAAAAAACATGTGAAATTCTAAAAAAAAAAAATAAAAAAAAAGACACGATATGTTAAGAAAATTTCCACAAAAAAAGTTTCTTATAGTTATTTCATTTACAAATATAATAAAATACGAAAAAGAATACGAATATCGAAGTACATTATCAGGAAATTTTTAAATAAGATACATATTGATTAATAGCTGCAGAGTTAATTGGTATTGATTATAATCACTTGTAATCATTTAAATTTAAATGATTGCAATTGATTTATATCGATTACAATTGATTGTAATCATTTAAATTTAAATGATTGCAATTAATTATAATCGATATAAATCGATGCCAATTAACCTTGCAGCTAGTAATCAATATGCATCTTATTTAAAAATTTCCTGATGATGCCAGTCTACTTTTTAGCCATTAACTTTACCCAAATGTAAAAAAAGAAGTTCAATTGTTCTGTGATCAGGTATCTATTTATTTGTTTGTTTGTTTTTAATGTCCAATCAGTCGCATAAACTCATTAATTACCTAATTACCATTATGATATTATATATACTTATAGAGGTTATTAATATCCCCGGGGTTATTAATAACCCCTATAATATGATATATGGTGATTAATAACCTCTGAGAAATATTAATAACCCTGATAAGAATATATATTACCCATATTTTAATTTAAAATTAAAAAAATTTTATTAAAAATAATTTGGTTTATTTCTATTAACTTTATTTTATATAATATAGTATAAGGGAGGCAGGGGTATTATGACGAAGTTAAAGTTTTTATTATAAAAACTTTTTATTAACCCAAGTAAATCTTCAAATATTTACATCACTAATTCAGGTTGTATTCAAGAATAAACTAATTAAAAAAAAAAAAAGTATATTAAATGGAATTAAAAAAAGATTATTATCTTGTGTGATATATTTTAAATCCAGAATTTCGAGCAAAAGGGGTATTATGACGAATTTAAATTTGGCAGTAAAAAATCTAATTTTTCATTTTTTTTGGCCCAAATTTTTTTCCATATTAGGTTTCTGGCCTTTTTTCTAAGTGGCTCCTTCCTTGTTCAGAGCTCTTGCCTCTTTTTTTTAGACCGCCAATTCTTTTTTTTGGGCTGCCAATTCTTTTTTTCGAGCTGCAGTCTCTTTTTTTTGCTTCACTTTTTCAGCTTTTTGTTTCACTTCCCGATTCAACTCACTCAACTGTTGTCAACTCTCTTCATTAGTTAAAAGTCATGCAAATGGGAGTGTCTTTTTCTTTTTTTCAGGAGGGGGCAATATAGACTCAGATTGGCTTTTAAAATTTGCATGATCAGTCGTTGCTTGAGAATTATAAGTTTGAGAAACTAGATATTTGAGTGCTAAACATAATGTACACATCCTAGGGTTTTTATAAGTTTTTAGCTCCTCACTTAATTTTAAAACCTAAGATTTTAACAAATCATTTTCATTTTTAAGTTTAATGTTTTTTTCCTTTATATAATCAATATTTAGGTAAGTAAAATAAAAATGATCTGGTTAAACAAGCTGTGGGAACGTTAAGGCTGGGCTAGAGCTAGATAACTAAATGAAAGGAATATTGTGTGATTCTGGTTCATTAAATTGTTCAGTTGCTAGAGAAGGGTCTAACTGATCTTCACTAATTGCACTAGGATTAAATGACCATATACTAGTAGTTTTGTAAAAGTTGCAAATAGCTAGTGGTGTATAAGTCTTAATAAAAATAGGACCAAGAATTTTCGCGAAGGTATGTTTTGTTACTATTTTATCATTATTATCATAATGATACTTATCACATACTTTACTATATTCATACTTTAATTTTGCGAATAGAATTTCGGATGGCTGTAAAATATGTGTTGTATGAGATAGTAACGCAAAAAAAAGTATATTATTTTTGCGACAAAAGTCTACGCTCATATAGCTAATATGACTTTTATAACTATCAAATATCAATAGAACTGGTCAGGTAGGCGGGATAAAATTAATAAAATGGTCTAGATACATTTGGAAAAGTTCCTCACGCATGTACCCAGTATTTGTGAAGCCCATAACAGTTCCAAGAGATGCATCTTTTAACAGGCCAGAGATAGTACGAACACCTTTATAAATAAATAAAGGTATATATGAACCAGTGGCTGAAATTGTTGGCACTACTAAAATATATTCAGTGCTATTGCTATATGCGACTTTGTGAATCTGGCATGCACCTTTTCGAGCAATAACTTTTTCGGATTTTAGAATAAGGACAAAACCAGTTTTGTCTATATTCCAAATCTGTGTAGTAGTAAGTAAATTCTCGTTGATGATTTTATCAAGTTTTTTAAAATAATCTTTCACAATAGTCGCATTGGCTCTTTATGCTTGTGCTTCTGATAACTTTTGAAGAGTGTGAAATGAAAGCTCAGGGTGATCTCTCATGAAACGCACCCACCAATCTTGACTTGGTCTACTATCTCCAAAAGGGTGTGGTTATTTGTTTAGCTTTAATATTTCCAACACACAATGATTAACACCAGATCTTGTGAGACCAAACCCAAGCTTTATACAATAGCCTGCAAGTTGGTTCTCTTCATACTCGGTAAGTATGGTTGGTGGACCTGAATGGTTAAGAGGGCCACCATTTTTTACAGCATGTTGAAGAGTGGCTTCTAAGAGCCCAAAGCTATTTGCAGAGCAATTATTTAATTTATCAAGTGCCACACAAATCATCA